TTTATCCTGGGTTAGTCTGGGTAAGTCTGGGTTAGTCTGGGTTTGTCAGGGTTATCCTGGTTTATCCTGGGTTAGTCTGGGTTAGTCAGGACCGACTTTAAGGGGAAGATCTGACTTAACTAACCAGGTTAAGTTTAGCCTGGCTGTGTTCTGATTAAAGCTGCTCTCCTGGAGTTTCTCTGGTTTGGGCCTCTTTTAGTCTGACTGATGTTTGGCAGCAGATCTTCTCACCACGAGTGCAGTTCAGTCTCAGAACTTGGTCTTCATCAGCAGCTGACGGGAGGATCAGCCTTCATTCCAGCTTTCAGACAGCAGCTCAGAGTTTGCGGACCTATTCTGATGGTACCAGTTTCTGTTGGTCAGGTGTTCGTGGAGTTGAACGAGCTGGTGATCGACCGGAACCAGGAGCTGCAGTGGAGGGAGACGGCCCGCTGGATCAAGTTTGAGGAGGAGGTGGACGAGGAGACGGAGCGCTGGGGACGACCTCACGTCGCATCGCTGTCCTTCCGCTCGCTGCTGGAGCTCCGCAAAGCCATCTCCCACGGTGAGGGTCCGAGCCGACACCACGGAGTCCGAGCCGACACCAACATCGACATCATTACAGAAGCTTTCACATCTAAAATGTTGAATGAATGTGTTTTCTATTGATCTAATATAAATAATGTTTAAATTAATATCCTTCATTAAACACTGAAAAATCTCAAAAGACAAACGAGCTCAAGTAAAATTTAGACTAAACGATGCTTTTAATTATTATTATTATTATTATTATTATTATTATTATTATTGTTGTTGCTCTGTCCTTTGTTTAATCTCTTTGAGACATGAGTCTCATTCTCAAGAGACCAAAACAACACAAGGTGGCGTCCCAGACAGACGACACTGACGTCTTTTTACATCATCTGTAGATGTTCACGTACCGTCGGGCCCAGCTGCCTGAACATTCCTGTTGCAGTCCATTTAGTCCCCATCCTGCCCTGTGATTGGTCCTTTGCTTCATGATGGTAACGGTGATGATGACGTCACTGTTTTAATTGTTCTCCGCCTGATATCCTGATCTGTCCTCCTCACCACGGCCAGCGGGGGCAGATGTCTGTGTCCCGGACCTGGTTCTGATAGTTTCCTTCTGGTTAAAAACTCTTTTATCTCCCTGTAGCTGCTCACAGAAAACTTTGAACCTGATAGTTTGCATGTTTCTGGAGGGTTCCCCTCTGGAAGGCCTTCAGAACAACACCCGTTGTGCATCGGTGCTGTATAAGTAAAGTTGAATTGAAGTGTGGTGCTGATGTGATGTCGCCGTGGTTACAGGTGCCGTGCTGCTGGACCTGAAGCAGAAGACTCTGCCGGGCATCGCTCAGCAGGTGGTGGAGCAGATGGTTATCTCCGACCAGATCAAATCTGCAGACCGAGCCAACGTGCTGCGCGCGCTGCTGCTGCGACACAGGTTCCCCCATCATCAGTCAGAACCTCCCCTACAAGCAGTACTCAGTCAGAACCCCACTAAACCAGTGGTTACTCATATTTGACAGATGTTTCCTGTTTTGCTGATATTAACCAATAAAGTCACATTAATTTAAATGTTTTGTGAATATTAATTAGTTCTAATGTGTGACTGTAGAATTAGTTTTACTGTAATGACAGTAATTTACAGATTTGCTGAGTATGAACTTGTGAAGGCTCCTGGATTCAGGCGTGCTCGGTATCAGGCTGTAGAACCTGTTTAGACCTTTGGGTCGACAGCATTAACAGAAATCGGATTAGCGCTCCGTCCTGGTTCTGTTCTGCAGAACCGAAGCGCGGTGCATGTCCTCCTTTGTTTACCTTTAAACATCTGAGCAACACATGATGGTTCCTGTTTCTGTTTCTGGAAAAGAACCTTTTCTTTGTCCAGCTGCTTTATGACCAGGTTCCTTCTTGTGTTCTCAGTCACCCCAGTGATGAGAAAGATCACAGTTCCTTCAGCAGGAACATCTCTGCAGCCAACATGGCCGGCCTGATGGACAGACACAACGGCCAATCAGAGCCCTGCAGCAACTCAACCAATCACAGAGAGGCTGACGGAGACAAGGGCAAGGTAAAGAGAAACAGACAGGTGGAGGTTCTGCCTGAGTGTAGCAGGTGAGGCTGTACAGGTGCATCCAGGTAGAGCGATCCTTTGCTGTGTTCTCTATACAGAAAGACGCTCCGCCGCTCTGCCCCTCCAGGTCCAAACATGAAGTGAAGCTGATGGAGAAGATTCCAGAGAGAGCCGAGGCCACCGTTGTTCTCGTAGGTACGCAGCTGCACACCTGTCAGGTGAAACACATCTGGAATCACATCTGTCATAGAAGAAACATTGATTCTTTACAGAACCTCCAAAGGTGCCTCAAAGAAACACCAAAAATGTTCCTTCAAGCACCATAAATGGCACTTTTTTTTTAAACTGCAAAAACATTTTAAAGAACCATGTCTTCAGATGGTCCTCTAAAGAATAACTTATCAACTGTACAGCATTTCTGGGTTCCTTCCATCGTCATACATTTAATATTTTGGGTTCTGGACAGTTGGTCAGACAGAATAAAAGGAAGAATCTTGTGAGGAACCCCATAATCAAAGTAAAACAACAAACACGTTGTTGAAGGCAACCCCAGAGCCTTCTGAGGAACCTTCATTTTCTGAGAGTATATTCAAGAACATCTCAGTGATTGAAAATTAGTTGTGGAACAAGAATGTAAACGATCTGCTCGGACCTTCATCACCTGCTCCAGTGTTGCTGTGAGTGGTCACACAGGTTCACACACCAACGGTGACAGAGCTGCCATCAGGAGCGACTTCTGGTCCAGTGTCTTGCCCAGAGACACTTCAGCTGTGGAGGGATCAAACCGCCAACCTTGTGATTAGAGGACAACCTGCTCAGGTTCTCAGGGTTCAGTGTTCCTTCTGTTTTATCTGCAGGCAGCGTGGACTTCCTGGACCAGCCCTCCATGGCGTTTGTCCGGCTGCAGGAGGCGGTTCTGCTGGAGTCTGTGTTGGAGGTTCCCATCCCTGTGAGGTTCCTGTTCCTCCTGCTGGGCCCGCCCACCGCCAACCTCGACTACCACCAGATTGGACGCTCCATCTCCACGCTCATGTCGGACAAGGTGACAGAGTTCTGCTTTTTGGTTCCACTGTTCCTTCAGTGTGTCGTATCGCTGCTTTTCTGTGCAATTAAAATGTCTGCAAACTTGAGTTGGAGTAATTTTGGACACATTTCAGGCCTGTGACCAGTCAGTGCTCTGTCTTTTGTTCCTCTGGTCCTTCAGCAGAAGAAAAAGTGTTTTTGAACAATGAAGCAAAAACACAATTACAAACCAGCACATGCAGAATTTGGGTTCTTTCACAGCCACGTGTCGCTCTGTTGATGTGATCCTGCCGTTCTGTTCGTCCTTCAGCACTTCCATGAGGCAGCGTATGAAGCCGACGACCGCCACGACCTGCTGACCGCCATCAACCGCTTCCTGGACTGCAGCGTGGTGCTGCCGCCGTCCGAGGTCGGCGGAGACGAGCTGCTGCACTCGGTTGCTCGGTTCCAGCGAGAAATGCTTCGAAAGAGGGAGGAGGAGCAGAGCGGCAAGCTGCAGGAGAAGCAGAGCAGCACTCAGCAGGATCCAGGTGGGTCCTGCTCAGGTCACAGCAGAACATGTACAGTCGAGACCAGAAGTTTACATCCACTGTATAAAAACACACAGAACCTTTTCTCTCACCATCTGACATGAAATCAGACCAAACGTTTCCTGTTCAGCTCAGTCAGGGTCACCAACATTAGTTCTATCTGCTGAACACCAGAATAATGAGGGAGAGAATGTTTGATGACTTTCCTCAAAGTCAGAAGTTTACATCCACTAAGATCCTTCAGACTATCTGGGAAAGCCCAGGTGAAGATGTCATGGCTTTGGAAGCTTCTGATAGGTTAACTGACAACATGTGAGTTACCTGGAGGCACACCTCAAACACACTGCTGCCTTT